AGATGTAACTAACCACACAAGAGTATGATTTCTTCTTTACAGTCAGATTTCATTCTTTGCTCATATCCCTGTTTTGTACTCAGAGCTCTTTTTTTTTTTTTTTTTTTCCAAGTTCAAGACAGTTCAGGGGATTTTCTTTTTCTTGTAACAGTTAAGGTTCTCTTTCCTTTGGCCCTTCCTACAATACTCCCCCTCACCACTCCCCTCCCCCCAGCTAGAATCCTCACTTCTAGCCAGATTGTTCTCCCCGCAGTCACCCTACATGTCCTGGTCCTCTTTGGTCATCCTGGCCCCCAGAGGGCTCTTCTTTCTCTCAAGTTCTGATGGACACATAGCAAAAGCGTAAAATGTTCATACAACCCCTCTCCTACTTAGCCAACGTGGTATGGTTACTGGTCTTTTTACCTCTATGTCCTTCTTCCCAATAGGTTATTAGAGAGGCCAAGTATATAATCTTTTTAAAAAAAGATTTTATTTATTTATTTGATAGCAAGTATAAGCAGGGGGAGCAGAGGGAGAAGCAAGCTCCCTGCTGAACAAGGAGCCCTGAGATCATAACCTGAGAGAAGGCAGACGCTTAACTGACTGAGCCACCCAGGTACTCCATTTTATCTTTTAATTGTTCCCCTCTTCTTCACCCAACCTGAGATACCATACAAGTCTGAGGTGGTGGTCTTCACTTTAGCCATTTTAACCAGTTTCTTTAATCACCATTACTTTTGGCACCAACCATTACACCTTCACACCTGCGCCCAGATTGTTCTATCAGAAGAATGTTTTAAAGGTGGGGTATGAGGTGAACCTAGTTTAAAGGTTTATTGAGTGTTGACTCCTCTTTGGAGAGAGCCTGTTTTCCTGATTTCTATTTTAGAGACTTCAGAGAGATAGCTTTCATGGCATCAGTCGGCACCAGGGGGCAGGAGAGAAAGCAGCATGAACAGAAACAAGCACAAACTCAAACGGACTGTGTGAGTAAGCAGCCTAAGTATACGAAACCCTCCAACACAGCTCTTGGTACCTAGTAGGCAGGCAATTTATGTTAGTTGAATCTTAAAGTTTCTTTTTTTTTTTTTCCTTTTAAAAGATTTTATTTATTTGTCAGAGAGAGCACACAAGCAGGGGAGAAGCAGGCAGAGCAGGCAGAGGGAGTAGCAGTCTCCCCACTGAGCAAGGAGCCTGATGTGGGGCTTGATCCCAGGATCCTGGGATCATGACCTGGGCTGGACACAGACGCTTAACCGACTGAGTCACCCAGGTGTCCTGAATCTGAAAGTTTTACAATCCTTTACAATGATTTCTCTGTAAAGAAAAGGAATGGCCTTGGGTGTCCTAACCCAGACCCCAGGGGAACAGCTCAACAGACAGTAGGAAGCTGCAAAACTAATTCTGGGACAGGATCTTACGGTCTATACCCCTCATAATATCCAAGGCTCCCTATCAACTGATAGCAGTCAGTGGCTCACAGGCGGCCACCTGGCGGTACCAGGCACTTTTCCTGGAAGGCCCAGTCATGCAAATAAAAAAATCTGCTCTACTTTAAATCCCACCACCTTCCTTCTGAAAAAGGCACAGGGCCAGAGCACGACTGTCAGCAAATCATAACCCAAACCTACGCTGCCCGGGGGGGATCCAGAACAGACTTTATTTTCTGATGGGAGCTCGTTTGTTGAACAGGGCACCGGAAAGGCTGGATACGCCATGGTCTCTTTATATGAAACAATAGAGAGTAACCCTTACGCACTTGGGCTAAGAGCCCAACTGGCCGAGCTGAGGGCCCTCACCCGAGCTTTAGAGCTCAGTAAGGGCAAGAGTCAAGATACATACTGACTCCAAATATGCCTTCCTGGTTTTACGTGCCCATGGTACAATATGCAAAGCGACATTTTCTAACTGCTTCAGGTTCTCCCATCAAGTATAAATCACGTGGCATCTCCAGGCCATATCAACCCCCAGAAGTAGCAGTTGTACCTTGCAAGGGGCACCAAAAAGGAACGATGAAGTATCCGAAGGGAACAGACTGGCCGATTCTGCAGCAAAATCAGCCGCCAGGTCAACTACCCTTATGGTTGTCCCCCTAGTCTGGGATGGCTCCATAACCCAGGAAAGACCCTGCTATTCAGTTGAGGAAAGACAATGTGCAATAGATGAGGGATATACTAGTCTTGAAGGGCCTTTTGCCTGCCCTCTCCTCACAGTATGTGGAGAGTTCACTAAAACATCTCTGTCTCTTGCTGAATTCCTGGCTGCACTCGGTCTTGCACTGTGCTTTGGGTCTTGCCTCTTAAATAGCCTAACCCACTTTATATCTTCCAGAATAAAGGTCATCAAACTCCAAATCGTGGTGGTTCCAATGGCACCTCACATGGAAGTCAAACCAGACATCCACAGGGATAGATAGATCCATGATAGATCAGCATGAGAGGAACCCTGACCGCTGCCCCATCCAACACCCCTGACCAGCAGGAAGTAGCTATGATCGGTATTCGCCCCCTTTCCCCTAAGAGCAGCTATGGTTACCTCTTGGGTAGGTGGTGGGGAGTGATGGAGGTTAGTGGGAAGGCAAGAAGGGAGGGACAGGACCTGCCCCCAAAGGAAACCACCCTTAAGAGGATTTTACACCACCCTGGAAAGAGGCCTTCACCTTTCCCTTACGATGATAGGTGACAAAAATGTGATTGGATGACAGGCACAGGGAGGTTAATCAGATTAAAACAGCCTGCTGACAAGCCCATAAAACCCACTAGACTAGAAACTCCAGTGGCAACCCCTTCGGGTCCCCTTCCTTTTCAGGAGCTTTGTACCATCACTTTGCAATTGCACAGTGAAACTTGCTTTGCTGCCCACCAAAAGAAAAAAAAAAGAGGGCGGGGGAAGATTTCTTAGTTACAGAAGACGTCCCTGTTATTCATAGAAAAATTTAAAAAATACGAAAAAGTAAAATGGCCAAGAAATTTTCAGTAACTCTTAATCTTACCATCTAAAAATAGGCACTATTAACATTTTGGGAGAATATATTTTATTTTCCATGCAGGCACGTTTTTCCTCTAAAATGGGATGACAATATAGTCTTACTATTTTATGTTTCTCCAGAACTTAACTGGTAATACCCACTTTTTTAGTTCAACATGTGATCATGAGTAGAGTCAAAAACTCCACCCAGTGTTCTAGTTTTGGCTCTGATCTAACCAGTCCCCGGCAAGAGGTTAGCTTCTCTGAGTTTTAGATTCTTCATCTGTGAAAAAAAGACTTTGAAGCCAGTGATACCTAAGGCACCCTCCACCCCTATCATTCTAATTGATGATGGGTAATTAAAGGAAGACAGTACGGTACAATGGCTATTGCTCTGGCATTAGCCAGGTTTTAATCCCAGCTCTAATTATGAGATCCTGAGCAGATTTCTTGACCTCTCAGTGCCTCAGTTTCCTTATCTCTAAAATGGGATTAATAATAGTATGCACCACCTAGGGTTGTTCTGAAAAACAAATAAGGTAAGACACATACAACACTTAGAACAGTTTTTGGCACATAGGAAAGGCCCAATAAGCAGTAGCTATTTATCAGTAAACTAACTCAGGCACTGGCCACCTGTGGCAATGGAACAGTAACTAAAACTGAGGGATAGGGTACTGATTTGAGAACTACCAGGGTTTGAATACATGCACTGGACACTGTGCTGTTTTCTCGTCAGCACAGTTTTTATGTACTCCTCAGAACAATTCTTTCTCCACTTTGTGAGGAAGTCAAGGCTAGAACTTGGCTAGATTCATGCATCTTTGTGTTAAACCCAGAGACTATGTCACTTTGTTAGCTTTGACTGTGCTGAGGGGCTAGAAGGTCTACTACTAGTTGGAGGTATTCTCCAAAAATCAAACCCAATCACTGAGTACCTTCCCTGGTGATACTCGGCATGGGTCTTTCTCTTTAGTAACTCCAAAAATTCCAGCGTTTGACAGAATTTAAAAGACACAGATTTTTTCTTTTTACACATTTTACATTGCACCTTTTGTACAATTTAATTCACTAGCAGATCTCGAAGTTAATAGAGGAGAGCTAGGACGTGGGCTCAACTTAGGAATTTAATTTTATGGTTGTAACTGATGGTCTAAAAACTCCCCAAACTAAACAAAAGTAACGGAACCTCAGCCAAAGTAACTGGCTTGGGAGAGAGTCATGAAATTTACAGGGAGATATTTTAACATTCTGGTTTCCACCGCACTGCCAAAGGACGTCAGAACCGAGTTGAGGGATTTGGTCTGACCACTGGCTCTGTGGCTGACCATCCACGTGAGCAAAAAGGCCATTTGGTTTCTGGCTTTACTTTTCTCTTCCAAAGAGAGAAACTGAAGAATAGACTGAAACACAAAGTGCCTTGTAATTAAATGCGACGTCCCGTTTGAAGGGCTAATAAAGAAATTTATTAACATTTGTTAGAGAACTTGGTAATTCTTAGCAGTCTTCACTCACTGTGATGAATTTTGATTCACCCTAATTAAAAAACACGCAGCCAACCTCTGATTGCTCCAGGTTAAGGCGAGGAAAAGATAAGCAGATGCACCAAGCAATGAACAATATAAACATTTCGAATAAACCTTTGAAAGGACCCACAACTCTTCTGCGCTTAGGTTTAACTGCGTACCGACGCCTCACGACGCAAAAGGCATTTCCTTCCCTGCAGCCTTACTGAGCTGGCGCGCAGCCGGGACGAGATTTGCGGCTCTGTGCTTCGCGATGCGGCCTCCACGCCCCCTCGCCCAGGGTTAGCGTTACGGAGCTCGATCCAGCTGCTGGCCCAGTCCCCAGCACTCCCCGGAGAACCACGGAGGTCACGTTCCCTGGGCGAGGGCTCGCGCCCTAGTCCGGCGCTGGTTGGTCGTGCCGCGGGGCCAGCCGCCCGGTGATTGGTCCGAGGGACTGGTTCACGTGTTCCAGAGCCCATAAGCGGCCTCTCCCGCGCCGCACCCGCAATCCGCCGGAGCTCCAGACTAACCGTGCCGGAGGGGAGCCGGGTGCGAACTCCCGCAGACCATCAAGAGCCGGCACTCGCGGTCCGCCGCCGCCTTTCTCCCTAATGAGCTGCACCAGGTAGGTTCGCCGCAGACTCCCAGTCTCAGAGTAGAGGGGAGTGCACAACTGTAGGGAGGTTGGGCGGCGTGGTCCTTAGGGCATCACCACAGATGGAGACAACGTAGGACGGCTAGCTGGCTGACTGTAGAGTTGAATCTGGCCCTAGGGAAGAATCGCATTGTGGAGATTGCTCAGAAGTTCCTAGCCAAAGCTTATTTTGGTGATAAGCATCCCAAACCAGCAACTTTTAACGGGAGTCAGCTTTAGTTCTGACTGCCTCTTGGATTCCGACTGTTCCCTCTCGATCCAGCACAAATGTCCTAAGAACTGGGGCAGCTTTTGGGAATCGCATCTTGATCGTCCTGGTTGGGGAGTTTGGCTTGTGTGTTGGGGGGGCGGGGACTGCAGTACGCTGTTTGCATTCTTTCGCCCTCCTGCACCTTTTGGGTCATGGTTTGCCGTAGTAAACCATGGGGAACCCCGGAGTCTGAGCAAATGACGATTTTTAAACTGTAGACCAGGATTTGAAATTCCAGGGAAATTGCCAGACCCTAAAACCGTAAGCGCAAAAAGTAAAAATGTAAAAAAACAAATCCAAAACCCAAAATCTTCCTTAACACTACTTGAAATAGCTTCTCCAGACGTGGCATACTTAACAGAAGGCTTCTCTAAAAACCCTGTTAACTATTATTAGATGCACAAATACAGCTTTAGCGTTCATTTGTTTGTTCTAATTTTGTAGGCCTCCATAAAAATACATTCTGTGCATGTTCTTACCATTATCTGTGTGTTGTTGACCATTTATTCGCCTATGTACTTAGAGCTGCTGTGAAGTTACTGAAGACAGATTGAGAAATGTCATGTACAGTGCACACACACAACTCCTATCTGTACAGATAGGATGGGGGAAAAAATCAAGAGCTTGGCAATGTGTATGGAGGGCTAAATTAGGCCAGGAAAAAAAAACCTGATGGACACTTCTGAATTTAATACTGCTGAGCATAGTTATGTTTAAATTTTAAAATAGCTTTTTTATCTTGCTATTTATAAATACCCATTGCTGAACATTAGAAAATACCAAAAAAGTACAAAGACAAAAATAGATGATCAGTAATCCTACTGCCTGGAGAGATGTAACTTTTTGGTGTATTTCCCATTAAGTATTCATAAATTCGTATAGACAATATATAAACAGTCCAATTTTCAGGTAATTAGCTTTTTCCATCCATGTGTATTTGTCATGCATATCTTCCATGAAATACAGATTATGTGAAGTTTTTCTGTAAGTGTGTGAACTGCTGACCGGCATTTCAGTTGGTTACTGAAAAAGGAGGATGAACACGATGACGTGCAAAGCTAATCCTCTGACTGCACTTTTCCAGCCTTCTCACTCTCAAAACTGCTCCCTGAGAATTTTATTGCTCTATTTTTTCTTTTGAAGTGGATTACCTTTCCAGAGAAGTATAATCAATTTAATAGCAAAATCAGCAGAGCTGCCAGAGGGAGCACAGAGTCTGGACCCATGGTCTGGAACCTCTCTGTCATGAGAATCACCTGGAAAGCCCTGGTCCCCACCCCCAAGAGGTTTTGCCTCAGTGGCTCTGAGTCCCAGGAATTGGCATTAAAAAAAGACGAGCAACTCTCTAGGCCATTGTGACTAGACAGGTTCAGAACAGAGCAAATTGGTTCTTAGAGGTGTGTTAGAGATGATCACCAACAGCCCCTACCAAGTGTTCTAAGCAGTTAATCCATGGCCTTGCAGTCAAGGACATAGCCAGACACAGGATGCAAATCTGAACGTCTAATACTGTTCTCTTTTACTATAAATGATAGCACATCCCTGATGCTTACTGTGCTGGTTATAGTTCAATCAGTACAAAACTAGTACATGTCAATAGTACATACATATAAAGTACATACATATATATAAATAGTACAAAAGTAGTCCGTACATACTTGGAACTTGGGGAAGAGCATTCCAGATCAGGTGATAACCCCTCTTCTTCTGTATTTCAGAATGATCCAGGTTTTAGATCCGAGGCCTTTGACAAGTTCAGTCATGCCAGTGGATGTGGCCATGAGGCTCTGCTTGGCTCATTCCCCACCTCTGAAGAGTTTCCTGAGCCCTTACGACCTCCAACGAAAAACTTTTGTGAACAAATTAAAGCCTCTGAAATCGTGTCTCAATATAAAACAGGAATCCAAATCACAGAATGAGTGGAAGCATTCACACGACCAAGCCAAGAAGCGGGTTGTGTTTGCTGACTCCAAGGGGCTCTCTCTCACTGCCATCCATGTCTTCTCAGACCTCCCAGAAGAACCCACGTGGGATCTCCAGTTTGATCTCTTGGACCTTAATGATATCTCCTCTGGCTTAAAACTCCATGAGGAGAAAAACCTGATTTTAGATTTCCCACAGCCTTCAACTGATTACTTAAGTTTCCGGAACCATTTTCAGAAGAATTTTGTCTGTTTAGAGAACTGCTCTTTGCAGGAGCGAACAGTGACTGGAACTGTGAAGGTGAAAAACATGAGCTTTGAGAAGAAGGTTCAGGTTCGTATCACTTTTGATACCTGGAAAAGCTACACTGATGTGGACTGTGTCTACATGAAAAATGTGTATGGTGGCTCAGATAGTGACACCTTCTCATTTGCCATTGACTTACCCTCTGTCATTCCAACAGAGGAGAAAATTGAGTTCTGCATTTCTTACCATGCTAATGGGCAGGTCTTCTGGGACAACAACGAGGGTCAGAATTACAGAATTGTCCATGTGCAATGGAAACCTGATGGAGTGCAGACACAGATGGCATCTCAGGACTGTGCATTCCACCAGGTGCCCCCCAAGACTGAGTCAGAGTCATCCGTCTTTGGCAGTCCAAGGCTGGCTAGTGGGCTTTTCCCAGAATGGCAGAGCTGGGGAAGAATGGAGAACTTGGCTTCTTACCGATGATTAAGTAACTTAGTGACTGGTTTTGACCTGGTGCATTTCCCATGTAATTTTAGGTCTGTATTGCTCAATATTAGGAAGTCTGTGCTACCTGCCTTACTAGGTTTAGTTTTGAGCTTTTGAGACCTGGCTACAAAAAGACCAACTTCTTGAGAATTTACTGTTGCGGTCTGTACGATGATACTGTTTCGCTTTGGAGGATCAGGTAATATCCTAGAACCCTGTTTTTGTTCTAAAAAGTAATACTGTTCAATGCCCTTTATCCTCCCCTCTCAATTCACAAGCTTTCACACTGGGCAAGGAAAGGTTGAGAAAGGACAGTTGATGGTGATGGAAAGCTGTTTTAATGGTATGAGGAATGTCTGAAAAGTGCACACAAAAGGGCTCTGAAGCTCAAGTCCGAGTAGGAGCAGTCTGATACTTCACTGTGGGTGAGAAAATGTAGGGTAACTTCGTGTTTTAAGTTGGTTTTGCAGTTCTCTCCTAAGGAAATAATGGGGGGGGGCGAGGGAAGATTCCATGTTACATATTCTTGTGGAGAAAACCCAAATTTCAGAGGTGTTGGGAGGTTTTGGGGAAAGGTGAATTAAACTCCGGAGAAGCAAGATTTTAAATGAAGCCTTTCTTTCCAAACGTGATTTATGAAAAACACAATTTGGGGAAAGTTTAAGCAAATCTGGCTTCGCAGTCCTCAGGTTACGAGTGATCTTGTTTGTGATCAAGGCGTCATGCTCAGGGACTCAGTAAAAAGATTGCTCTTTGCAAGTGCCTTGATTGAGCCAGAATACTGTGTTGATCCCAAATATCTGAAGGGTCCTCTGATAACTCACGAGTGTTTGACTTTACAAGAAGGTCCACTCTGTATATTGGCATCCCTTTTGCAATACTGTTGTATCTTTGAGAGTGTTGCCAGTGTATACAACTTGCATCCTTCATATTGGAGGTGACTCATTTTTCTGCCACACTTTTTCATGTGATATTGGAAGTGAGGACTGAAACCGATTCTCAATTCAAGAATCCAGTACTTTGCACATGGAAGCAGCAATCTATTGTGCCTATTTGTTTTAAGTCTTTCTACCAATTTCTTTGAAGTACAAATATTTTTTTTTAAACAGATGTGAATTGTTTGGATTGTAATAGAATCGTTTTGGGGTGTGCTTAAATTCTATAAGATGTTAACAGAAGTCCTCAAATGTTGGCTTCTGTCATTGGCACATCCATTGAGCGGTATTCAGAGAATGCAGTTGATGTTAATTTTAACAGGTGTGATCTGTCATGCTGGAAAAGTATATTGGAATAACTCTGCTATGACCGTGTTTAAGGTTGGGCTAGCACACCCCTCAGTTTTTCTATTCTAAGTATTTCACTGTCCTATAGCTATCCTTTGTGAACTTTTCTTTAAAAAATAAAAGCGTTTGATACAAGACCAGAGTATGTTTTCTTTCTCAAAAGCCACAAGTCAAATAAACCATCAACTGAGATTGTCCTGTTTTAAGAACTGAGCAAAGATAGTTTGGACCAGGAATTTGATTCACCTGAGGGTATTCAGAGGGTTCCAGTCTATCGTTAGTGCACTAGGGCTGGGGTCCAGGAATAGTGACTTCAGCTGCTGCGACTGTTCTCCAGTTATCCCCATTGGTACTTAACTGCTGCTCATGCATATTGTCTGCTGTGTCAGGGTTCTCTTGGGGGCCACTCCAGCTTTAAAATGGAGGAGGTGGTGTGGGAAGAGCTGCGGTGGGCTACTCTACCTACCTCTTCAGCTCCAGCACCTTCCTGAAGGGGCAGAGGTTGGAGCTGCACAGAGGGCATATGGGCACCAATCCTGGACTGAAGAGAGGGTCAGCCCCTGCAGTGAGAGGTAGCAGGTCTATGAAACTTAAGTTGTAATTCAGTTCTTAAAAGTTCCAGAAAAAGCTTCTGCATGGGTTAGTTGTAAACCACAGGCCTGCAGGCTGTATCTGGCTACAGGTGTATCTTGCTTGACAGGAAGTGTCTACAACCAGGATCTTAGCCTGGATACAAGAATTTTAGGGGTTCTAGTACCTAAAGTAGTAGTTGATAGCACACCCAAAATGACACCCTGTACATCATGATCAAGATGAATATGGCCTTGAAAATACAAAAAAAGTCTAGATTCCCCCCACCCCCGCCTTATTCCTCCAGGACAAAAGCCTGAAAATTCTAGATAATGTTGAACTATAATTTTGAACTATAATACATTTTAAGAGTATTGCTGAGCTGGGAAGAAAGGAAGGATGGCCTTAAAAGGCTGCCTCTGCCCCCTAAATAAAAAGCAAAGCAGGACCCCAGAGAGTAAATGTGTACTAAAGCTGACAGTTGTCCTGAAGTCACTTGCTAATCCCCTGGTGATCAATACTAGTTTTTTAACATCTATGGTTGCTAAGGGGTCAGAAATGAAGGTTAGTGTCCATTAAGCTGGGAGGTGGTCACTGTGAATATCTAACATAGCTAGGACCAAGAAAGGATACAACTGCATTAAAATAACCCTTCTAGAAATTCAACTAGGAAAGATGCTTGTACCTCTGGGTAGAGGGAAAAAACAAAAGTCATAACCACAATCTGGCCCTCATATGGATTTGCAATCTGAATTCACATTTTTTGTATTCTGAAAAAGGTCAAACCAAAAATTAATTAAAAATGATCCCTGGGGGCACCTGGGTGGCTCAGTGGGTTAAAGCCTCTGACTTCGGCTCAGGTCATGATGTCAGGGTCCTGGGATCGAGTCCCGCATCAGGCTCTCTGCTCAGCAGGGAGCCTACTTCCTCCTCTCTCTGCCTGCCTCTCTGACTACTTGTGATCTGTCAAATAAATAAAATCTTTTTTTTTAAAGATTTTATTTATTTATTTGACAGAGATCACAAGTAGGCAAAGAGGCAGGCAGAGAGAGAGAGAGAGGGAAGCAGGCTCCCTGCTGAGCAGAGAGCCCGATGTGGGACTCGATCCCAGGACCCTGAGATCATGACCTGTGCCGAAGGCAGCAGCTTAACCCACTGAGCCACCCAGGCACCCAATAAATAAAATCTTTAAAAAAAAAAATGATCCCTGGTTGCAGTACCCACAAGCGCTCAGTAGAAGCAAACACAAGTACTCTTAAAAGTATGCCTTTTAACCTAAGTCCCAAAGAATTTTCATCAAACATGAATTCATTAACAAAACAATAAAGATAAGTCTTTGACAAGATGCATGAAGAAGCAGCTAACAAAATGTCATAGGCAATGCATAAATAAATATTGGGGCATTATGGACAACTTCATGTTAATAACTGAAAACTTAGATGAAGTGGAGCATTTCTAAAAATGTTGAATCAAATGGTTTCAAGATGAAACAGAATCTGACTAGTCCTATAAACATTTAAGATTAATAATTTAAAATTGGTGGCTTAAAATTTACAAACAAAATACCTGGTCCAGATATTTTTACAGGTGAGTTGTATCAGACAAGGATCAAATTTTTTTTTTCAAAAGATTTATTAGGGAGAGGGAGTGGGGAAGAGGCGGAGGGTGAGGGCAAGGAGAGAGAACCTCACACAGATTCCCTGATAACACAGAGCCCCAGGTGGACCTCGATCTCATGACCCTGACCAAGATCATAAGCTGAGCAGAAATCAAGAGATGCTCAACTGACTGAGTAACCTAGATAACCCTAGGATCAAATAAATAAATGTACACGTGTGTGTGTGTGTATCTTTAAAGATTTTATTTGAAAGAGAGCGTTCACACAAGGGGAAGAAGGACAAGCAGACTCCCTGTTGAGTGTGGAGTCCAAGCTGGGGGTCAATCTCAGGATCCTAAGTTCATGACCTGAGCTGAAGTCAGATGCCTAACTGAGCCACCCAGGTTCCCCATGATCAAATATTCCTAATCTTATATAAAATATTCCAGAATATATAAAAAAGAGGAAACATTCCTCAACTTATTAATGAGTTAGCATGACCTTGATAGTGAAACCTACTGGGGACAATATAGGGAAGGACAGTTGTAAGCAAATCTCACTTATTAACAGATACAAAAATTTACAAATGACAAATTATTAAAATGTAGAAAAATTGTATTATGATCAAGTTGGGTTTATTCTAAGAATCAAAGATTGGTTTAATATTAGAACATCAATTACTATAACCTGACACATAAATAGATTAAGGAAATAAAAATATACAGTCAGCCCAGTAGATGTCAAAAAATGTTTATAAAATTTTACATCCTTAAAGGAAAAAAACCCCTAAAACTAAGAATAAAGGGAAATTTGGAAAAGGGTATTTACTAAAAATAAAAACACAACCTACAAACACCATCTTATTGTTAATGTTGAAACTCCTTTTAAGTAAGTTCCTCTATTACCACCTGTCCTAAACACTGTGCTGAAAATCCGAGCCAGTTAAAGTAAAGCAAGAAAGAAATAAATATAGGATTGTTAGGAAACAAAGGAAATTATCATCATTTACAGGTAATATGTTTACCTGCATAGAAAATCCAAAAGAATCGACTACTATTATTAGAATAAATGAGAATTAGCAAGGTTGTTGGATATAAATTCTAACAGCTTACAAAATGGCCCCGATGGTCCTGACCTTCTGAGATTCATACCCTTGCATAGTTTCCTCCCATGCTGTGCCAGAGTTGCTTTATGTAACCAATAAAATACAGCAGAAATTATGTCATGCTACCTCCAATATTAGGCTATAAAAAACACTGTGGTTTTCATTTTAGTTGCTTTCTCTCTCTCTCTCTCTCTCTCAGATTTGCTTGCACTAGGGGAAGTCAGTTACCTTGCTGTGAGCAGCGCTATTGGAGTTGCCCATGTGGTGAGGAATGGAGGTCTCCTAAGAGCCCAGAAATGGATCCTTTAGTCCCAGTCAAGCTTTCAGATGATTGCACTCTTGGCTGACATCTTGATTACAACCTAATGAGAAACCCTGAGCCAAAACCTCCCAGCTAAGTTGCTTCTAAATTTTTGACTTAAAAAAAGTATGAGATAATAAATGTTTGTGTATGTGTTTTACGATTTTATTTATTTGAGAGAGAGAGTGAGCGGGCACAAGCAGGGGGAGAGGGAGAGGGAGAAGCAGACTCCCTGCTGAGCAGGGAGCCCACCGTGGGGCTTGATGTTGGGATCCACACAGGGCTTGATCCTAGGACCCTGGGATCATGACCTGAGCCAAAGGCAGATGCTTAACCGACTGAGCCACCCAGGTGCCCCTAAATGTCTGTGTTTAAGCCACTAAGTTTGGGGTAATTTGTTACTCAGAAATAGATGACTAATACGAGGATCAATATCCAAAAATGAATTGAATATCAATCTATATATATGCAATAAACAGAAAAGGTAATTTTTGAAAAAAGAATATTTGACAATAACAGTAATGATATAAAAAGTCTTTGGGACAGGGATGCCTGGGTGGCTCAGTCGGTTAAGCC